GGGCGGTCTGTAACCCCTCTCCTGTGGTTCTGATCCAGAGGGCGGTCTGTAACCCCTCTCCTGTGGTTCTGATCCAGAGGGCGGTCTGTAACCCCTCTCCTGTGGTTCTGATCCAGAGGGCGGTCTGTAACCTCTCTCCTGTGGTTCTGTGTTGCAGCTGGTGGAGACCTCCCTGAAGGGTGAGATAACCTTTGACCCCTGCTGTGCCTACTACCTGTGGTTCGTCATGGACTTTTGTGACGGAGGAGACATGAACGCCTACCTTCTGTCCCGGAAGCCCAGCAGGAAGACCAACACCAGCTTCATGCTGCAGCTGGGCAGCGCCCTGGCCTTCCTGCACCGGAACCAGATCATCCACCGAGACCTCAAACCAGACAACATCCTCATCTCGCAGGCGTGCACGCCCGCCGGCTCCTCGGAGCCCACCCTCAAGGTGGCGGACTTCGGCCTCAGCAAGGTCTGCTCCGCCTCGGGGCTCAACGCCGAGGAGCCGGCCAGCGTCAACAAGTGCTTCCTGTCCACGGCCTGCGGGACGGACTTCTACATGGCGCCGGAGGTCTGGGAGGGCCACTACACGGCCAAAGCAGACATCTTCGCCCTGGGCGTGATCTTCTGGGCCATGGTGGAGCGCATCACCTTCGTGGACGTGGAGACGCAGAAGGAGCTGCTGGGGAGCTACGTCCAGCAGGGCTCCGAGATCGTCCCCCTGGGGGAGGCCCTGCTGGAGAACCCCAAGATGGAGCTGCTGATCCCGGCCCGCAAGAAGAGCATGAACAGCCACATGAAGCAGCTGATCCGGGAGATGCTGGCCGCCAACCCTCAGGAGCGGCCCGACGCCTTCGAGCTGGAGCTGCGGCTGGTCCGGATCGCCTGCAGAGAGCTGGACTGGGACACGTGATGAAAGGGGCGCGCCATGGACGGGGCGCGCCATGGACGAACGGGGCGCGCCATGGACGAACGTGGCGCGCCATGGACGAACGGGGCGCGCCATGGACGAACG